CCCCCAGAAGGGCAGCCCAGCCACGCAGTGCCCCCCTCAGAACTCTTTTCACTCTGCGGCACTCTTTCTTCAAGACGTCAGGGTGTTTTTTCTTGATGATTGCATTTTAATTTTTCAATTATGTAAAACATTTACATAGCTCCAATGTTGCCTCCACCTTATTCCCTTCTCTCACTCTCCAAGCAACCACTTTTATTGACTTTTGGAGTTTGTTTGTTTTTTTAATTACTTCTTTTGAAAATGGTTTGTAGTCTTATTACTCCTTCACTCTTTCTTCAACAAAGGATGGTCAGTCACCCTACATTCTGTTCTGCACCTTGTTTTTTTTTCAATTAAAATTGATCAGATATCACCCCAAATCAGCAATAGAGATGGCTTAACCTCGTCATTTCCAATTCTTATGCCTCTAGTTCTCATATCTGATGACATTGGCTGATAATCCCAAAGCTGAAGAGTAATAGTCTTTTCTTGATCTTGACTTTAGTTAGAATTCATTCTTCATTAGCTAAGAGGAGGATTATACACATGCTCATATTAAAATATCCGTCAATTTCTAATACATCAGTGTTTAACATGAATGAGTGTGGAATTTTTCTAACGTCATTTAAGCATCAATGTAGATAATCATATGATTTTGATCTTTAGTTCTAATAATATGATGAGTTCTATTAATGGATTTCCAAATAGGGAGCCACCGTTAGGGCTGGCTCATTGTGATTACGAAACATCTCGCTTGATAGAAAAGTCTGCTTAGGCAACAGTAGCAGAAAAAACTGGAAACTTCATCACGGGCCCTGTTTTTTAAGTGGCATCCTATTATTTGTGTAAAGAATTTCAACTCCATCCTAAAAGCAAGGAGAAACCACTGGTGACGTTTTTATTGAGTCCTGGATTTTGGAACCACCTCTCTGCGAGCAAAGAAAGTGAAATTTGAAGCAGTGGCATTGTTGTCATGAACCAGGTGAGACAAGAGGAGGGCTGAACAAAATACGGTGGGATTCAGAGATACTGAGGGAGTGCAGTTGCCATGACCGATCACGTGAAGAAGATGAACGCAAAGAAGGAGCCTAGGGTAACTTCCAGGTCCCCAGCCTGGGCGATTAGACGGATATTAGAGCACTGACCAGGGCGAGGAATACAGGGAGACGAGGGGCTCCGGTAAGAAAGGTGCTAAGTCTGGGCTGAGTTTTAGATACTTGTGGAACTTCCAAATGTACACTTTTTTTCTAGAGTTTGGGAGAGGGATAAAGAACCATCAATGCAAACTTTGAAAAGATGGGTGTAGGTGGCAACTGAAACTACAGGAGTGAGTGAAATTTCAAAAAGAGTAGACAGAGCACGAAAAGGCCATGTCCCCCGCCCCAGACAGCTGCGGGGAAGATGATATGATACCACGTGTGGGAAAATACCCGCAGGTGTTACCTACTGCTCTCCTCCCAAAGTCCTCTTCATGGTTTACATGGTTTAAATACACACGGCTCCCAGAAAGCAGAGTTTATGACACACATGCATGTATGTACATCTCAATATCAAATAAAGACTCGAAAATTTCCAATCCTACCTCTGTCTCTTCTGGGAATAATGCTGAAAAATATTCCATAGCGGCCCCCATTGGACACTTTCTGAGTTTGTTTCTACCTGTCAATGCAAATAACAAAATCTGATTTTTACAAATGTGTTTTTCAACCCCTTTAGGGGGAAAAGTGCCACTTCTAGTTGATAAGCAATATACGATAGTAGTAACTTTCAGAACATACAGATACAGCTTGGATCTTGTTTGCCAAACATTATTCTAATATCTGTAAATCTTTTTATATGCCATGCAACCTCTCCAACCAGTTTCTTTTCCCCAAGTAGAACGAACGTCTGAAGTACTACAAAAATACATTTTACTTACAGAGCTGATTTATCACTTCAGAAACATCAACAAAGCCCTCACACTTAACCCTCACAGCCTGCAAAATGCGTTGTATATTGGATGCCAAAGAGACATCCGAGAGGGATAAACGAAGCAGAGGCTTGTGATGCTCGGTACAAGGACGACCATACAACAATAGGTGGTGCTGCTGGGATGGGGACTGGCCGCGTACGTTTGACTCCACACATGTCACGAAAATTCTTCCGGAAGGAGACTATTATACTTACCTAATTAAAGGTTGGCTTGGGAACAGAATTCAAATCTGATAAGAAGGGGCATCTGAGAGAAAAATACTGAAGAGGGAGAGATTTCCACCAATGGGAGCTAGTTTTTGCAAGCAGATTTTTAATTTAAAGCTGCCCAATTCGACGTCCATTTCTCAAGGCCAGGGGCAGCCTAGCTCCTCTGAGCTTCTGTCTGTCAAACAAAACCAAGTTATAACCGCCAGGTTCCTATT